TCAGCAGGACCTAAGGAATAAGATAGTCTAACCATTCCTTTTTGCTTAGCTTTATACTGATATATTCTGGAGATTTAAAAATTACATGCCTATCGATTTTCTAAAGTTAATTTCATTTTTTAAATGCAATGTATCATGCTAAAAATGTTGCGTGTTACATGTTTGGGTTGAAGAATAATATGGAGAAACAAACACTTGTATATCCAGTACCCAGATAAGATAGAGAACATTAGTAGAAGCTTTGAAGCCCCTCTTTGATCTTTTTGATCGCATCTCATCTCCCTTCCTTTTTTAGTGGTCATGTACACTCTTCCCACATTTTTGCTATTGCAAACGAATTGCTGTAAATGTTTTCTCCTCTGAGGTACACCTAAAAGTAGAATTTTCTACATGAAGGGGTACGTAGATCTTTAACTAGATATTGCTTAACTGTTTTCCAAAGTGTTTTACCAAACTACCAACTAGGTGGTTGTAGTACTAATTTCTACCCTCCTACCCATTCTGTGTGAGTTCTTGCTGTTCTGTGTCTGCTGTGTTCCCAGTTTTGTTTTTAATTCTTTTTATGAGATAATGCTGTTTTATTAATTACAGTGATTCGGTGGCCTTTACTTTTTCACCTGCATGTAAAAATGGTCTTTTAAAGTTAAATGTTGGACTTCTGTGTATTCTTCTTATCCAGACAGTTGAATTTCTGAATGAGAAACTGGATAAAAGGGAAGCTCAGTTATTATCTCTTAGTAAAGAAAAAGCACTTCTAGAAGAAGCTTATGATAATCTGAAAGAGTAAGTACTTTACAAATCTGAGTAATTTTACACATTTTTTAGTGGTACATACACTTGGTTATTACTTAAGAATGTTTTTTAAATGGAAATGTTTTATATTTTAACTTGTTTATAATTATTGAGAATTGAATGGTATTTCCATTCTACCCTTAGAGATTACTTTTCTCCTCAAATTATCTTACTCTTTTACCACTGGCACTGAAGAGAGGTGTTTTTCAAAACAAAAACAAAAAAAACCTCTTCCCTTTTGTTATTAATAACCTATTAGTATTAGAGATTTGAAAGGTATATTTAGAGAAAACTGAGGTTATAGTTTAAAAAAATACTGAGTACTAGTTTGCTTTAAGGAGCTGATTAGTAAAATGTGACACAATTAAGATTTAACAGTGAAAAGTTTTAGTTGCCTTTTTGTAATTTTTACACATTATGTATTGGTGACATTTTCAATTTCTAGTGGGTTTTCTTTGAAGTGATTTAAAATAACTTAAGCAGGTAATTTTTCTCTTAAAAGTTAACAGGCCTAAAATTAATCTATTTTTAGTAAAGTGTATGTTGAAGAGAATGTTAGTTTTTTTTTTTTTGCAGACTGAACTCATCTGTTAATTTTAGAATATATAAACAAGTATTTTCAGTCTCAGTATTATTTTAAATTTAGTGAAATGATCAGAGTGAAAGAAGAGAGCAGCAGCATTTCTTCCTTGAAAGATGAGTTTACTCAAAGAATTGCAGAAGCAGAAAAGAAAGTTCAGCTAGCCTGCAAAGAGAGAGATGCTGCTAAAAAGGTAATGAAAGTTTAAAATAATATTAAATAAACTCTACAGAGACATTTTTTTGAGGAATACATTATTATTTTGGTACGGGAAAAAAGAAGTAAGATTAAAAGGGTACCATGTAGTATGTTAACACTTAAATTTTAGATTTTTCGCACCTCTAGGATTACAGACTTTTGATACTTTGAAAAAAATCTAAGCCAGTATTTGTATAATTTATGTGTAAGTCCTTGCAAGATATATAGCAAGGATATTTAGAATAATTTTTGTAAATGATAAGTCCATCAAAATAAAAATAAATAACACTTAAATCTAAATGGCACTCTATAAATGTTAAAAATTACCATTACTCTCATTTGGTATTTTTCCCTTCTGCTTCAAACATATATATATACACACACACACACACACACACACACACATATATATATACTCCTTCAAGTCAAAGTAATTTTAAAATAAAAATTCTTAATGATTAGTGACATTGAATATTAGAATAAAATGTTGATTTATTCTAATGTAGGATTTCTCAACCTCAGCACTACTGACATTTTGGGCTGGATAATTTTATATTGTATGGGACTGTCCTGTGCATTGTAGGGTATTTACCAGCATCCCAGGCCCCTACCTACAAGATGCCAGTATCACCCTTCCCTCCTCAGCCCCAACCTAATCCTCCCTCAGTTGTGATAATTGAAAATGTTGCCACACATTGCCAGATGTCCCCTTGGGAGCAAAATTGCTCCTGATGGGGAACTATTTGTTCTAATTCTTATAATTTGGAACAGTTGGCTGTTTCAGATATTGGTAACCAATTAAGGTTAGTAATTATTGCTTGTATCCCAAGTATTATAGCATTTCTCAGTATTTGCCCTTCTGAGGTTGTTTTCCCCCTTCTTGATGAATGTCAATGTTAATATTTATAATTTTTCTCTGTATATTCTTACAGAAAAGAAATATGATATACTCTGCTTGGTTGCTTTAATTAGCAACTTTAATTAGTATCATTTTAGACGCTAATAATAACCTGAGACTATCTAACCAACTTAACTCTTCGTGTTCTTGCTCTATTCCATCTGAATACAGTACAAAAAGTAGATTTTAAGTAATGTTTGTCTTCTGTAGTGCACTTTGAATTATAGATCTAAAATAGATCTAAACCATTAATTATAGGTGGAAAAAACTTGCGTCCTACGTTTTAACACATTTTATATGTACTGCCATGTATGAACCCCCTGCTTAGGATCCATAGGAAATTCAAAGGTGAATTTAATTACCTTAAGTGAAGAGTTTGCTTTTCTACTGTTGGGAGACAAATAACGTCAACAAATGTATAGTAGTAGGCAGTTGAATAAGCACTTTGAAATGGTATCATGGAGGATGAATTCTGATCAGAGGAACTGAGGAAGATTTCATGGAAGACATGACATTCTTAACTGGACCTAGATGGATGAAATTTTGACAGTTGGAAATGGACATCAGTGTTGTAGATAGTTCAGAGCATGGGCTTTAAAGATTCACAGACCTGGGTTTAAGTTATAACTCTTACCACTTTATAGCTCTCTGACCTTCAAAGTTTACTCAAGCTTTCTTAGTCTTAATTTTCTTACTTGTGTAGTTGAATAGTACAAGTGCCTCCCTCCCAGGATTGTTGTAAGGATTAAATGATAACGGATACAAAGCATGGTTTAAATACCTAATAAATGTTAGTTTATTTTAGCTATTTTTAGTTTCAGAGCATCATAAAAACCAAGTTTAAAATCATAGGACACTTTTCATATCACCATACTTCTCCATTGTAGTTTTAAAAGATAAAGTATCTTAACATGTTTCTGCTGAATCTCTGCTTTATTAAAGTAGATCGAACCTTATGAAATTATGTTTTTTCTCTCAGTTCACAACCTGTTTGTAAGTGCAGTGAGTTTCAGATGAGGAAAAGGAATACAGTGAAAAATGGAGATATACTAGTTGAATGTTTCAAAAATAATGCTTAACCTGTAGAAAATATGTGTAGAGATACTCAAAAAGAGTATTGTAAGTTAACTTCTTCTCATTTCCATTTCCATATTAAAACCTGTTTATGTCTGAATTCAGGTCTTCTATGTCATTTTCAAAGTTGCCCACTTTGAACTTAATTAACTAAGGTAATATAAACTCAGGTTAACAGTACAAAACTTATGGATTCTTATTGAGAATGTGAGTATTTGGATATGGAAAAAAATTGAAAACTATGCCCAGAATGAGAGTTATGCTTTATGTTTCTCATATTCTTTCTTTTTTAATTAGGAAATCAAAAGTATAAAAGAAGAACTTGCTACTAGATTAAATAGTAGTGAAACGGCAGACCTTTTGAAAGAGAAAGATGAGCAGATCCGAGGGTTAATGGAAGAAGGTACGTAAAATATTTAGTTGGTTATGAAAAATATTGTGAGAACAGGAAGATACCACGTGACTAGCTGCTGCTTCCTAATGAAAAAATATTGGAAGCAAGAACGGTTTGGACTTAAACCTCAGAAATGGTAGGCAACAATTCATGGAAGAATGGGGAGCAAGATGTAGAGAGGTAGAGGTATAATGTATGTAGCTTTTTGTTCCTAGAGAGGTAAAAAAATAACTCCTTGAGAAATAGAATTTTGTGCTTCCCTAAGAAAGCTTCTAACAGGTTTTAGAGCCCTCATTTAAACCAAGGTATTTGAAAGTTATAATTCTGGAGTTTATATAGTATCTGAATCTCTAGCTTGGGTACTATGTGCTATCATTTTATTGTTCTGGCATTTGATAGTGAATTTTTTCTTACATTCATGTTTTAATTTTTTAGTTATTAAGTACTTTCTCTATGAAAAGATTCATAATTAACAGGGTTATGAAAATTAAAGATTCTTCATGAGGTAAAACAACACAGTTGGACATTGAATTAATTTCTTTCTGTAATGTCATAGGAAAGAAGGTAGTTTTGGAAAGGATGGTTAAATAAATTTTTCTTAAAGTTTTTTAGTTATAAGAGTAATGCTTGCTACTTGCAGAAAATTTTGAAGTTATAGGAAGTATATGAAGAAAGAGAAAAAAATAGATCATAATTCAATTTTATAAGGAAATATTAATTTCTTCTAGTTCCTTTTTAATGCATTTTATTACATTTTTAAACATAATTAAGATCATACATCTAATTTTCTTTCTTTTACATTTCCCTATGCCGTTAAATGTTTTGTTACCATTATTAATGGCTGTGTTAAAGTCCATTATATGGATATATTATAATTTGTTTTACTCTTCCTAAGGTTATACATTTATTTCTAAAATGTTAATATTACAAACAGTAGTGGGATGAACATTTCTGTACTTAAATTACTGCACTTAAGTGAATTTCCAGAGTAAGTGTTTGAGGACAATTGGAAATAATCACTTCATTTGAAAAAGTTAGTTTTACCCAATTTTTCTTTTTCATTTATTCAGCTAATATTTAACAGTTAATATGTCAGATATTGTGTTTGATATAGTAATAAATATGACACATTCCCTGTCCTTTAGGAACTTATAGTTTAATGAGAGGGAAATATAGGTGCACAGATAATTATAAAGCAATCTTAGCACTAAAATACATGAAACACATAATTGTATCTCAAGACATCTTGCAGTCAGATACTGTCTTGTGTTACAACATTAGAGACTGAGGGGACGGCTAAGTACATGGTTTCATAATTTAATAAAATTATTAAGAATATTAATATCAAATTTCACTTTGTTGGAATTTACTAATGTAATCAGGGAGTGAGCTGATGTTTTCTTTTGCTTAATGAACTTCTTTATAGAGAAAATAGAATGATTTCATCTATGGGTATATTCACATACTTCTGTATACCCTAAAAGTATTTTTTAACTCAGAGCTGAAGAGCTGAAAGTCTCAAAGCTGAGAGTGCGTTACAGTGAGTAACTGATTACTTCATTACCTAGAGTCATCAACTGTTAACATCTAGCCACACCTCCTCCATATCTCTCTGCACACGCATATACTACCCTTTTGCCAAACCACTTGAAAGTAGGTGACAGATATCATATCATTCCACTCCTAAATTCTTTTTTTATCCAGCTTTATTGAGGTATAATTGAGAAATAAAAGTTATATGTATTTAAGGTGTACAATGTGATTTTTTATATATGTATATATTATGAAATGATTACCACAATCAAGCTAATTAATGTATCAGTCACTTCACACACTTTGTGTCTGTGATGAGAACACTTTTAAGATCTACTCTTCTTAGCAAGTTATAGGTGTACCTACCATACAGTATTATTAACTTTAGCCATCATGCTATAAATTAGATCTGTAGAACATATTCATCTTACGTAATTGAAACTTTGTACTCCTTGACCAACATCTCCCCATTTCCGCCACCCACTAGCCCTTGGTAACCACCATTCTGTTCTCTGCTTCTACAAATTCAACTTTTTTATATTCCACATATAAATGAGATCATGCCATGTTTGTGTCTGGTTTATTTCATCCTCTAGGTTCATCCATGTTTTCACAAATGGCAAGATTTTTTTTTAAGCTAAATAATATTTATATCTATATCTATATTTATATCTTACCTATATATCTGTCTATCTATCTATCTGTCTATCTATCTATCTATCTGTATGTAGATCTATCTATCTGTGTCGCATTTTCTTTATCCATTTATCCATCGACAGAAACTTAGATTGTTTCCATACCTGAGCTATTGTAAATAAGGCTGCAGTGAACAGGGGTGCAGATATCTCTTCGAGATACTGATTTCATTACTTTTGGATATATATATTCAGAAGTGGGATCAGTGGATCATATGATAGTTCTATTTTTAATTTTTTGAGGAGTCTTCATACTGTTATCCATAGTGGCTGTACCAATTTACATTGCCACCACTAGTACACAAGGGTTCTCTTCACATCCTCTCCAGTATTTATCTTTTGTCTTCTTGATAATGGCTGTCCCAACAGGTGTGAGGTGACATCTCATTTAAGTGTTAATTTGCATTTCCCTGATGGTTAGTGATGTTGAGCACCTTTTTGGATACCTGTTGCCCATTTGTATGCCTTTTTTGAGAAATGCCTATTCATGTCTTTAGCCCATTTTCAGAATTGGCTTAATTGTTTTTTTGTTATCAAGTTCTGTGATTTCTTACACATTTTGGTTATGAATCCCTTATTAGTGTGTAGTTTGCACATATTTTCTTCCATTCTTCATACTGTCTCTTCACTTTGTTGTTTCCTTTGCTGTGCAGTAGTTTTTTAGTTTGATGCAATCTCATATGTCTGTTTTTGCTTTTGTAGCCTATGCTTTTGGAATCATATCCAAAAAATAATTCCCAAGCCTTATGTCAGAAAGCTTTTCCCTTATGTTTTCTTCTAATAGTTTTACCGTTTCAGATCTTACATTGAAGTCTTTAATCTATTTTGAGTTGATTTTTGTATATGATGCGTGATGGGGTACCATTTCATTTTTCTGAATATGCATATCCCAATACCGTTTATTGATGAGACAGTCCTTTCCTCATTGTGTGTTCTTGACATCCTTTTTGAAGATCACTTGTCTGTAAATATGTGGATTATTTCTGGGCTCTCCATTTTGTTCCATTGGCCTATATGTTTGTTTTTATGCCAGTACCATACTGTTGATTACTACAGCTTAGTAATAGGTTTTGAAATAAGGAAATGTGATACCTCCAGCTTTGTTCTTGCTCAGGTTTACTTCAGCTATTTGAGGTCTTTTGCAGATCCATTTGACTATTAGGGTTGTTGTTTCTATTTTTGTGAAAAATGCTGTTGGAATTTTGATAGGAATTGCATTGAATCTGTAGTCTACTCCTCAGTTCTTCAGTCTGCATCTCTCAAGGACAAGTACATTTTTTTCTTGACGAGCACATCATCATAATCACACCTAAGAAAATCAGCATTAATTCAGAAGTGTATTCCAGCATGTATTGCATCATTTATCTCAATTGTCTCTAAAAATAACTCTCATACCTGGTTATTTGTTCTGCCCCAAAATCCAATCAAAGTTTGTTCATTGCATTTGGCCATTATGTTCTTTTAGTCTTCCAGCAATCTAGGATATCTTTTTCATGATACCAAAGATTTTGTAGAGTCCAGTTGTCCCATTGAATGCCCCATGTTCAGGAATTTGTCACTTTCTTCATGATTAGATTCAGATCAGATTTCTAGTAAGAAATATAATAGGTGATATTGTGCACCTACCACTCCATCACATCAGTGGACTCATAATGTCAGGCTGTAGCACAATTAGTGATATCAAAATTGAATGTTTGGTTAAGATGGTGACCAGGTTTCTCTATTGTAAGAGCACATTTTTTTCCCTTTGTAATTTATAATATGTGGGAGTGATTCTTTAACACTGTAAATATCCTGTTCCCACACCATCCTTCTACCTAGTAATTTTAGCATTCATGGCTTATGCTGTCCAAATCAGTTTAACATTGACTGTTACAGCATTGTGATTTTTCAAATATTCTGTCATTTTATGTCACTGGTTAGTTAAAACATTCTATTCACATTCTTAGAGAATCATCATTATTTGAATTTATACTTTTTTGCCATTGCCAGGAGAAAAACTTTCAAAACAGCAGCTGCATAATTCTAACATCATTAAGAAATTAAGAGCTAAAGACAGAGAAAATGAAAATATTATTGCAAAGCTGAACAAAAAAGTTAAAGACCTAGAAGAAGAGTTACAACATTTAAAACAGGTGAATATTAACCATTCTCTGCATATATATATATTGTTATTACTTCCAATATGAACATATGGCCAGGGTTTATAAAACATTTGGGATGATTTATTGAGGTATATCGTTTGGGAAGAATTTTCCAAGCAATTTAATAGTGAATGTTGGGACTTCCCTGGCAATCCAGTGGTTAAGCTGCCACGCTTGCACTGCAGGGGGCGCCGGTTTGGTCCCCAGTCAGGGAACTAAGATATCACATACCCTGCGGCGTGGCCAAAAAAAAAAAAAGAAGTGAATGTTAAGATTCTTCTTCGTTATTATAATACTTGAGAATCGTGGAATACAATTATTTCCTGTGGTGTTTTTTATTGAAAAATACCTTTGTTTTTATAATATAGGTCCTTGATGGCAAAGAAGAGGTTGAGAAACAACATAGAGAAAATATTAAGAAACTAAATTCTGTGGTAGAACGCCAAGAGAAGGATCTTGGCCGACTTCAAGTAGACATGAATGAACTTGAAGAAAAGAACCGAAGTTTTCAAGCTGCTCTTGATAGTGCATACAAGTAAGAAAATGAACAAATGTGCAACTCGTTTAAAATCAGTTATCAGAGCAGGATGTTGAAGAAACACTTTTTCCATTATCTGATCACTAGTAACATTTATAAACTTACCTCTGTATGAACTTGTGACTGGTTAAAGCAGATTCGACAGAGAGTCCTCACTGTAGTCACTGCTTATTGTGTGGTGAACTCTTCCTCATTCTGTAGATCTCATGGAAATCTACCTGCAAACTTCATTAATATGGCCATGTAATTAACTATATTATTTTAACCTAAAAATCATCTATTTAATTTTTTAAGAGAACTTACTGATCTCCACAAAGCCAATGCTGCAAAGGATAGTGAGGCCCAGGAAGCTGCTCTAAGTCGTGAAATGAGAGCTAAAGAAGAACTTTCTGCAGCACTGGAGAAGGCCCAAGAAGAAGCCCGTCAGCAGCAAGAAACATTAGTGATTCAAGTAAGCATTAGATGAAAAATTAGTCTTTAAAATCTTTGTTTGTGCTTCTGCAAAATAAAGAATCTGTTAATTGGAATCAAACCTTATGTAGTGGCACATGTGTTACGTTTTCTTTATAATCCTGTTGGGCTTACAAATCCTGTTGGGCTCATTTTCTAAGAGTACTGGATTGTGCCAAGCTTAATCAATTGTGTGTTTTTTAAACTGTTGTTAAAGTGATGCTTACATTATACCAGTATTGCTTATGTTTTTGGGGGGAATTTCAGACTTATTTGAGAACACTATGAAATCTAGGGATGCTCTTACCAGGGAAATGCACGAATGCAGATAAATACTAAACATTGCATATAATTTCAGGAGAATCTGTTTAACTCCTGAGCTCATTCATAGCATCTGTGGGAGTCCATGGACCTCAAATGAAGGAAGAAAACCAACATTTGTCAGGCTTTGTCTTATAAAATCATCATTTGATAGATATTTGGGTTATTTACACTTTTAAATTTTATTTATTTATTTTTATTGAGGTGTGGTTGATTGATGTACAATATTATGTAAATTTCAGGTGTACAACATAGTAATTCACAATTTTTAAAGGTTATACTCCATTTTTAGTTATTATCAAATATTGGCTATATTCCGTGTTGTACAATATATCCTTGTAGCTTATTTATTGTATACATAGTAGTTTGTACCTCTTAGTCCCCTATTTCTAATTTTCTCCTCCCCACTTCTCTCTTCCCTCTGATAACCACTAGTTCTCTAAATCTGAGTCTGTTTCTTTTTTGTTATATTTACTAGTTTGTTTTATTTTTTAGATTCCACATATAAATGATATTATACAGTATTTGTTGTTCTCTGACTTATGTTACTAACCATCCATGTGGTTGCACATGGCAAAATTTGAGTCTTTTTTATGGCTGAGTAATATTCCACTATATATATACACCGTATACTATGTATGTATACACACACCATATATATATATATATATATATATATATATATGTATGTATGTATGTATATGTATGTATATGTCTTCATTCATCTGTTGATGGACACTTAGGTTGCTTCCATATCTTGGCTATTATAAATAATGCTGCTATGCACATTGGGGTGCCTGTATCTTTTCAGATTAGTGTTTTCATTTCCTTTGGATATATACCCAGAAGTCTTTACACTTTTTGGTTATTATGAATAATGCTGTTATAAACATTAATTTACAAATTTTTGTGTGAACACATATTTTAAATTCTCTTAGATATATACGCTTGGGTCGTATGGTAATCTTTTGTTTAACTTTTTCAGG